TCCCGCCAAAGTATTTCCACATTAAACTTTGGCCCATTTACCATTTAATTGATCTATAATTAATATGTCAATTGTCTGCTGATCTCCGTAATTATAATCATGTATAATTATTGTATAGGTCTGAAATACGAAAAACTATTAAGTTTTGGTTAGTGGGTTGTCATTGCAAATTTACATTTTACTACTTTTCTCATGAAAAAACTAGGTATAGCCTTCGTATAATTGGTTTAGGCGTACCGCCTAAATTGGTAACGAAATTCATCTCAATAATGACATTAACACAAGTTAATGGTCACGTGATAAATAAAAATAGCTCTATCTATTATTCCCACAACAACATACTCCCGTGCTTAATTGCGCTTGCCATCGTTACCCGCTTGTTTTTCTCCGTCAAGCACACAATTAAATTCCACGAAGTTAGTTAGCCATCTTAATCGTTTCTTCAATTCGTTTGGCGCGCATTTGCATTTTCAGACATCGGCGCCATCCCCATCGGAAAGCCGACCACAGAAACAAAGAATCCACTCTCGAGGAGAATATTAATTAAGCGGTGTAAATTTTTACCGCGCATATGGGAGTCGCTAAGTAAATCAGTATGGCGACGGTTCCTTGGAAACACTTGGATCAAGAACGGCAGGCAAAAACTGTCACACAGAAGTCTATTCATTAAGAGTATGAAAATATCAACTATCGATTTTTTTCCAATAAATTATATATATATATATATATATATATATATATATATATATATATATATATATATATATATATATATATATATATATATATATATATATATATATATATATATATATATATATATATATATATATATATATATGATGACACTATATTCCGGGATATCATCCGTTCGCTCGTTGAACTCCGACTGGAATCCTGCATCCGACTGGAATCCTGCAAATCCTGCATCCGACTGGAATCCTGCAGACGTTTCGCCAAAATCTCACTTGGCATCTTCAATGCTCGCGCTCCGAAAACACTTCGAACACTCTTTTCGGAGCGCGAGCATTGAAGATGCCAAGTGAGATTTTGGCGAAACGTCTGCAGGATTCCAGTCGGATGCAGGATTTGCAGGATTCCAGTCGGATGCAGGATTCCAGTCGGAGTTCAACGAGCGAACGGATGATATCCCGGAATATAGTGTCATCATATTTTTCCATCCGTGAATCAATACGTGAGAATATATATATATATATATATATATATATATATATATATATATATATATATATATATATATATATATATATATATATATATATATATATATATATATATATATATATATATATATATATATATATATATATATATATATATATATATATATATATATATATATATATATATATATATATATATATATATGTGTGTGTGTGTGTTCTAAAATATAAAAGTGGTTGTGTTGGCGTCGTTTCTGATTATTTTACTTATTAGTTGTCTAGGCATAAGTTTCCTTTGTTTTACTATTCTCTAACTGTGCAGCTTTTACTAATGGCTAACACGTGGTGCTCTAGTTGTGCAAGGAGTATTGTGCCCCTCTGCCGTTAAAGTTTAATTGACGGCAAATTGATGTATGTATTGACTAGCCTAGTGTATTTTTTCTTGTTTTTTGATAGAGTGTTTTTCCCATTTATATTTTAGAGTCCTGAGGAAGCCTGAATACTTGGGCGAAAGCTTGGCTTAACATAAAAAGCCACTATTCAATGAGCATTTATATCTTTTATTGCTCCCTCTGCATTAGTCAATATTGGGCGATCCTGTAGTTATTTTGTGCAAGAAGTTACCAGTAGCCCGTTACTGTCCTTACACTGGTTTTTTGTAACGTCATCGCGTCTAGATTGAGCACGAGATATAGCGAGTTTCTCATGGACTTTTCCCGATATCTCGAGAAGCGTGTGTGATAGACGAAAACCGTAAATATAAAAATTAGATCAAGAAAATGAAATATACTTATCTTGGAGGAAGCGTCGGATAAAGTACCAAGAAATAAATTATACAAAATTCTTCTTGAAAGATAAATAAAAAACAAAATTATCAGGATGTTGAAAAGTATACAAAGAAAACATTAACTATGTAATACTCCAAAATAAAATTTAAGAACCATTCACCAGCAACGCAGGTTTAAGACTCTTTACAGCATACATTGATGAAATAATAAAGAAGTGCAGAACAACCGTAAGGAAATATAATGTGGGCTGTAGATACATGATTTAGTAGTAATATAAATAATAACTAACTAATATAATTTAATATAATTAAAAGTAACTGAAAGTATATTAAATTATATTAGTTAGTTATTATTTATATTACTACTAAATCATGTATCTACAGCCCACATTATATTTCCTTACGGTTATTCTGCACTTCTTTATTATTTCATCACTATATGCTGTAAAGAGCTCTTGATCCTGCTTTGCTGGTGAACGGCTGTTAAATTTTATTTTGGAGTATTACGTAGTTGATGTTTTCTTTGTATACTTTTCAACATCTTGATAATTTTGTTTTTTATTTATCTTTCAAGAAGAATTTTGCATAATTTGTTCCTTGGTACTTTACCCGACGCTTCCTCCAAGATAAGTATATTTCATTTTCTTGATCTAATTTTTATATTTACGGTTTTCGTCTATCACACACGCTTCTCGAGATATCGGGAAAAGTCCATGAGAAACTCGCTATATCTCGTGCTCAATCTAGACGCGATGACGTTATAACGTATTGCATGGTTTCAAAAAACCAGTATTTTCTTAAAAACCATTTACATGTGCAGAGTGTTTCGCGTATGGGCAAAAAATCTAAAAGCCCCTGAAAATTTCTGTTTTCATTGATAAATTATTAGGGGTAAATGAAAGACTATAAATTATGTGATGATTTGGTTTAAACAGTTTTATATTACCTTGATGTTCGGTTACACGTGACAGACAGTTTATACGGGATGCATGCAGAATAAATGACATCGATATTGCCAAAGTTCCATAGTGGTCCGCAGGAGCACAATAGAAAAGCAATGTATAAGATTTCGAAAGCAATCCTGGTATGTATGGAAATTGTAAATACGTATTTGCCCAAAGAAAGCCCTGCAAAGTATATTGGCAGCTAAATTTTCGAGAGTGTGTAAGGGAAAATTTAAAGAAAACGACATTTTAACCTTCATCTTCATATCTTCATACAAGGGAGTATACTATCCGCCTTTAAAAAGGGAAACCTTTGTGAAAGGAAGGAAGTTTATAATACAAGAACCATGAATTACACATATCCCATCCACAGACTATGAGTGGGAAGGGTTGGTCATATCAATGTGTTTTATAACAGTTTGCCGAACAACATAGGAACAATTCGAGATTTTAAAATGTTAAAGAGAACAATTTTTAATTTACTCGTAGAAATAGAATCATATAGAACACTACACTTTAAATGACACTATTTCAATTAATTAATTATTATTAATTAGGCTTTGAAATCAAGATGATGATTAATATTATTATTATTATAACAAATTTATATTGCTTGTAATGCGTATTCCGCTTCAAACTCCAGCTGAGCGTTGACGCGCGTTTATTTTATGAACATCTTGTACACCGTACACAAAGAAAACGACATATGTTAGACAAAAGGCTAGACATGAATTAGCGGTTGGAAATACAATCCCCTTGCACCACTACCAACGGTGTCGACAACACCCCATTAACTCGGACGCTTTTTAACACCCCATTAAACCGTTTAATCTGTTTAAAGCTCCCTTCGTCTCGAAACAACACGGAAAATTGATACGAGACGCGGGATCAATTTACATTTTCGCATTTCTAGGATCGTTATAGGATTTGCCCCCACGATTTTCGCATTCAACGCCGGTGTTTACGCAACACGCGGATATTACTTAAAAAAATGCCCCTTCCGATATTACGGTTCATTGTCTTTGTTACTCGTTTCGATGAAATTGATTGCGAAAAGGAAAAATAAAGCGGAGTCCTTGAAACTCGATCTATTGGCAACCGCAACATAAAATATATTGTCATCGCGCTTGTCACTTCCTTGGCGCGATTTATTTTCGTCTGGCGAGATTTTATGCCGAGCCGTCGGATTTTGAATGTATAAAACGCGATTTGGAATTAATGTCGTTTGTGGTATTTTCCGTGGAATTTAAGCGACAATTGCAAAAATTGTATACCGTATTGTATTTAGATTAAAGGAAGAGATATAAGGGGTGTAAATTACGTATATAGCCCGACAAACGATAAATGGTCATAACTGTAATAATGATATTAACATTTTTATCTGCTCGTAGGCATTTATGAAATTGAAACTCAAAATATATTCTGTTGTATTGCATACTCTGTAATTGGAATTATAGAAATAATAAATGCATATAGAAAAAAGTCACTCTTCGCAAGGAGTTTACAAAAAAAAATGTAAAAATTCAGATTTCCACGAAATTATATATTATGACATGACAATTGTTTCGACAACATCGTGTCATCAAATGTCATCATCATCAAATCACATTTGATAAAGACACGGTGTTGTCGAAACAATTGTCATGTCATAATATATAATTTCGTGAAAATCTGAACTTTTAGTTCCTATTTATTTTCATAAATGGATATTCATCAAGTAAAAGCCACCTCAGTTAAAAAAAAAAATGTGGCAAACTCTCGATCATTTAGATGTTTACGAAAGATCAAAGAACTCCAGTGAAATACCGCTTCATCTTAGAAATTGAAGCTTAATGAACAAGCATTTTATAGACTCTGTGAGACTAATTTCTCATTATCCAAGCACTGAAACCTTGTCCGTGTCCGTGTTAACACACCGTTTTAATTCATGCATTGAGAAAGGATTGTTTCCTGCCCTATGGAATGTAGCAATAGTTTTTCCTTTAGCTAAAGTTAGTGCGCCAGAGAGTGTATCTCATCATAAACCCATTACCTTATTGAAGAATTAATATACATACAAATAATTCATTATTTTGATATTTTGTGCTTTCGTCAAAATGTCAGTCCGGGATTCGTAAGGGGTTCAGCAACTTAACAGCGCTGTTGAAAGTTCTCCATGATATTCTGTTGGCTGGAAATACGACACCCTTAGTCCAGTCTTTTTCCTGTAAAAACTGTTTTTTTATGGATTTAAACCAAAACAATCAGATTAATTCGTAGTTACTTAGAACAAAGATGACAGATATTTGAGATTGATAATAGGAGGTCGAGGGCATTCGGGTTGGACAGAGGTATACCTCAAGGTTCTTTTCTGGAACCTTTCTTCTTTGTTATCTTCATTTCGGTTATGACCAGTATGCTGATGACTCCCAATTATATGCAAGTTTCTCAAGATCTAAGGCTGCTGAAATTTTAAAGAATTTAGATAGAAGTTTAGAAAATATTACAATATTGACAATGTTAAAATACTGATTGTTTCCGAATGCAAAAACTTGGAAGTTATTTTGGATTCATAAAAATCTTATTCTACTCTTTTTTTTAAGTTTTGAGCAGTGTCATTGTCATGCAAACTTCATCGTTTTCATAATTCGCACACTGTCACTTTCAAATAAAAAAATATCGGAGTTGTCACAAATACCATGGAAAATAAAAGGAAGCCTGCAATGGCGCCACATGGGATCAGAGAGATAAAAGCAAGAATTGTGACCAAGTTAGAAAATGGTGGGTTCATATGTAATCATAACAACATTAATAAACGATGGAGACAAGAAAAAACGTTTGAAAGAAAAAGTAGAGCTGGCAGTTCAAGAAGATCAGACGGATAGTCTAGGATGGCCCTTTCCAAAGCGCAAAGAACTCAAGCATTCTGTCGGAATTTCGGAAAACACACGGTTCATTTTCACTCTTAACTATCAAGTGAACGGCATACATTTTTGAGAAGCTCATACCAGCCGGAATCAAAATAAAGAAACAAACAGAAGGAACCGTTTTGAAAAAAACTGACTACGCCCCTGAATTCTACGTCAAAATCTTTATCCGATGCGCTTTTCAACTTTCCGACATTTCATAGATACAAGGGATGCTCCAAAACTTGAAATTTCCAATACTACCCTGGATTTTCAAAACTAAGCAACTCATGAAAATTTTGTTTTTACAAAAAAGTACCAAAGGTTTGTGAACACTCAAGATACTCAAGATTTTATCGTCACTAACAAGGAAGGCATACCAAAATGGGACACAGTGTACAATATATATTCTTTTTCCTCTAGGCTCCTCAAGTCTCATCTAAATAAAATTCCAACAACAGTTGAGTCTCTCTTTAATGCAACTAGACATCAATATTTTAAAATCTATTTCGATTTTGTACGACCACCAACACTTTCATTATGCCTTTGTCAAATGGATCCTTCCGTTTTAGTGAATCATTATCAAGGAATCGACACAAGGTTAACCTTGAAATATCGGAAGACAGTGGCTTCCTATTGGCAGCTTCAATTTTACATGAATAAATATAAATTATTAGATTATTTTTTTACTTGCTAAGTTAAAGTTTCTGGAATATTATACTATACATCAACTGATGTCTCTAAAAGCGTCTTTAGGGCACTGTAAAAGATTCCTTCCGCTAAATTTTCACATCAAGGAAAATAAATTAATTAATCTACTAAGACCCGATCGAGTTTGTAATCTTTTCCAATTTTCCGAAACAATACGTGGACGTGTCGTTTCAGTCGTTCCGTTAATTTCGATTTAATATCCACGAAGTAAACGTAACTGTTCTTAACACACTGCGACACACAATTTAGTGCGCTCCAGAGTCAGTGGATCACGCAGACGTAATCAACTTGCCCCGTCTTTTTATGATACCTGACATTGTTGTTCATCTTGTCCGATTTTAATCAGCTTAACCAGTTATGTCTGAAGCACTTAATGTTTTCGAATTGACTGACGAGACAAAAACAGATCGATAGCGCGATGGAATATCGGCAAGTAACATTCGAAAGTATTTCCATGCTGTAAAATTTAAAGATCTGCCTTTTTAAAATTTACATTAAAATGCGCCTCGTTGAAATTTTATTAAAAAAAACATATTTCCATGGATTGTTCCCAAATTTAGTTGTTGGACAGCCCATAAATCGTTTATGGATGGACGGATGGAAACTTATTGGAACCTCAAAGAGTTGATGACCTTGAAAGTTTTTATAGCAAATTTTGGTAATTGTGAGAGCTGTAAAATATAGAAGCTCCAGGCTGCGATGATACCTTATTCCACAAAATATAGAAATATCAAAAACGGTTGATGGCTAAAGTTGTTTTCATTCACCTACACCTTTAATATTACTTTATTAAATTGTTTTTTCCATTGAACAACAACTTTCTTATTTTAAAGAGAACACCGCGAATATTAAATAGTTTTTGAATTGTACACATATTTCATATATTATGTAATAAACGACAGTCTTACCGTTTCTGACTTATTCTAAATTTTATGTCAAAAATGATGTCTCGAAGTTGAAATATATCTATCGATTTCCCATAGTTGTATGTACTGGGTGAATGAACGATAGAGTAAATTCTTTAATATTTTGAGGAACCATGTTCACATTAATAATTTTAAATTGTGCATCCTAACAATCTGTACCACTTTTGTAATTACCATTTTCTCATAACTTTTGAAACCAATGAGATAATGAACTTTACTCTATCTTTGACTGGAAAAAAATCATTTGCAACATGTCTATCGTAATTTTTTCTTTCTTCATTTTAGGCAGCAAACTGAAAATATACAGGGTGGGACAAAAAGTAGACCAAGTTCCTTTTTTCCTGAGTCAGATTTCTCGCATAATTCATGTAGCATGTGGTTTCTTACTTTTTATGAGCAAAACCAAATTACTTTATTTATGTTATTTATTTTTATTTGCGTTAAGCAAATGAGAAACTTCTTCTTATGTTCTCGTTTGGTCTCCATATTAACTCCTCTTCATATTACACAACATAGTTTCTGAAATCTAAGAACTACGTGCTAGTTGATATATTTTTTAAATACGGATGCTGGGAGTTTCAAAATAATTGACATTTATTCATAAATTAATTTAATCTGGAACAAATGAGCATTTCAAACAGCTTAGAAAAACTGCAAAAAAGACGAATTGGTCGTTAGTTGTCTAAATAGTTCAGACTTATTTTTTTTGCATTGGTTTAATTAAAGCTAATTAAGTTGCTCTGGCAAGACAGCTTGCTTTATGAAATTATTTACTAAACTGGTGGTATTTCTGGTTTCTATAGGATCTTGAATTTGATCATAAAGGCTACTATATTTGTTCTTTATTTTCATTGAAGTTTCCAGTAGCTAATTTTGTGTTATAGATACAAGATGATATTGTAAAAAAGAATAGATTTTTTATTCCCGGCTTAATGAAATTTGAAAAAGTCATTACCACAATCCGTTAGTTTCTATTAAAAGTGCCTATTTTCCAACTGCTACTGTGATGGCCCATCAGGAATAGTCAAATACTATGTTGTTGATCGTTATTAATAATTTTTTTATTTAGGAAAATGTCAAATATATTTCTTACTTAAATTAAACATGTTATTGCATTGACTTATGCCAATTTGTAACATACTGTTTTGAAATATTTAGTGCACATCGCCTGCAGGTTAATAATGCTGATCTGCATTTCCACTTGCTTTCCCGTAACAGAAATGTATATCGCGATATCCACTATCACCTTTGTGCTTAAAGCAATCTGTTCTAATTTGCAATTTCAGTCTAAATACATAAAATACAGGGAAAATAAAAAAAATGATCTAGGTGAAGTGCCCCTAGTGACAGATATCTGAAACACATTTATTTTGTAACAATGACTTTTAGGGAATCAGGACTGTGACTACAATACCAGCTCATTCCGTGGAGAATTAAGCCTATTGCGTCAAAAATAAAATTAAAAAAATGAATTTTGACAAGCTGTAACTCGGAAAACATTACGATTTCGAATTTTTGTTACATAACTTGCATTATTTTACCACGTTGAATCTTTCCTCCAAGTTCCCGAACCCAATTTGCGAACACCCTGTATATATTTTTTTTCTTTTTTCTTTCTATATGTCTTTTATTTTGTTATACATACTTACTGTCCTTTTCATTTATATTGTTTTAACTAATTAGCAATACATCAAGTACTTGTTTAATTTTATTCAGTTTTGGGGATTTAGTATGTTTCTAAAAATATTTATATACTTTTTCATAAAAGTATTCCATTGCAGATTTACATCTAAAAGGTCACTGGAGACATTTATAATTGTGACTACTAAAATATTAACGTATTTTTATGCTTATTCCAGCATTTCATCTTGCTCGATGGTTAGCTAGTGTATATTTTAAACTTGTAGCGCCTCGATGCGGTGACCTTTGACGAAGTGACTTACATCCCAAAAAGGAAAAAGCATTCGCGCAGATGAATCGATTTCCATATTACTCTGGAGGAATGCGCATTGCACGAACGACATTTAGAACGTTACTTAAAATTGACAAATACGACTCAACATTTCTAAATCAATGACGACCACGCTCATATAAGAACGTCACCTCATTATACTTTAAAAACGTATCTTTTTCGATGCAATTAGTTTTATCCGTAACTGCAAACGACGATACTTCGCCGCATTCATAATTTCATCGACGTGAACACAAAAAATCGCCATAAACAAACAAACGCGACATATTAATAGCGCAGAACATAGCAATTATTTGCGTTGTGCGCTGATAAAAAAAATGCGATTATAATAATTATTAGTTTAATGAGGAATTAAAATTATTGCCCGTTATAAAACTTGACGTTTAATTGGACGGTTGAAGAAATTCCGCTCCTCGGCCGCGCTTATACAGGAAATGTTGAAAATTAATCAAACTAAATGAAAATTTATATTTCAATCGTCCCCGTCGGGATTTCTCATCCTTATTTAACGTTATAAATTAGCGTTACCGGTAATTGCGCGCTTGATTGGCTGTCTTAAAGCGAAAATGTATTTGTATGCTTTACTGCCTGAAGTAGATTTTTTCAAATTTTTTGCGGCATTATGCGCGCGTAGTCACACAATTGAATTAAGTAAGCTGAGACCGACCAGTTCGTATTCTCTGCCATTAGATTTTTTTGTACCTCGATCTCTACCGCCAATCGTCAACTCTGCCTAAAATGTAGTAAAGTAAACCAACCCACCCGTTAATAAATATCAATGTGATGAGAGAAGTGGTCAACATTTAATGCTTTGACCTATCTATGGCGAAAATATATTATACAGGGTGGTTATAAATGAGCATCACAAAAATGTTTTGTGTAATTAAAAAAACTCAAATTTTTCCAATGTAATGCCCTTTATTTCGCACTTTTATTGAGGTTTAGATTTAATTCTCTATCGTTTCATATATGTGTGTATATATATATATATATATATATATATATATATATATATATATATATATATATATATATATATATATATATATATATATATATATATATATATATATATATATATATATATATATATATATATATATATA